GCATTATAGGAAGGATGTGGAAGCATTGGAAAGGGTGCAGAGGAGATTTACCAGGATGTTGCCTGGTATGGAGGGAAGGTCTTATGAGGAAAGGCTGAGGGACTTGAGGCTGTTTTCGTTAGAGAGAAGAAGGTTAAGAGGTGACTTGATAGAGACATACAAGATGATCAGAGGATTAGATAGGGTGGACAGTGGGAGCCTTTTTCCTCGGATGGTGATGGCTAGCACGAGGGGACATAGCTTTAAATTGAGGGGTGATAGATATAGGACAGATGTCAGAGGTAGGTTCTTTACTCAGAGAGTAGTAAGGGCGTGGAATGCCTTGCCTGCAAAAGTAGTAGACTCGCCAACTTTAAGGGCATTTAAACGGTCATTGGATAAACATATGGATGATAATGGAATAGTTTAGGTTAGATGGGCTTCAGATTGGTTTCACAGGTCGGCGCAACATCGAGGGCCGAAGGGCCTGTACAGCGCTGTAATGTTCTATGTTCTATGGGTTATACCAGCAATTACACTTTAGAAATGTCCTTCATTGGCTGTGAAGCACTCTGTGATAGCCCAGGGCTGTGAAAGCCACTTTTTGAAACCAAGCCCATCCTTTTCTTTTCAGTGAGTTTGGAGTTTGGCCGAGCAGTCTGGCTACGATTCCATCCAACCAACCACCCCTCATACACTCACCCCAGCTTCGTGACTCACCTTGGCGGAGTAGTGGTGGGAATCACACTGGGGGTGGTGGTCCTCAGAAACTATGAGCAAAGACTCCACGAGCAATCCATCTGGTGGATCTTTCTCCTGATTTACCTTCTTTTCGTTTTCTTCGCTGTCCTCTGGAACATCTTTGCCTACAGTCTTTTGGAGATCAGGCTACTCTCACCAGCCTAAAACACTTTGCAACAAGCTTCAAGACGGAGGTGGGTGCAAGACTCCAGTCCAAAAGAAAAGATCTGCTGAAATCATAATATTAATGGACTAAACCAATTGGACAAAAACACAAGAGGGTGCTTAGAAAGGAGTGGGTGGGATTGTGCAGACAAATCAACACTGTAACAAGATTGATTCAATCATGTCCAGATGATTCACATAATTTCACGTGCTGCAGATGGATCAATTTTCACATCACAGTGGAGTGATGAATTTGCTGATTCAAATAGTGATAATACAAATTTCCATTTAAAAACAGACATTAAGTTTTCCTTGATGTTAAATAGGGGAGGTCAGCTGCTTTCTGTAAACTGTTGGTGCCTCCTCCCCAGACCTCCAGCAGAACCTCACTCTGGCCATGGAAGTTGTAACAAGTCATTTGAAGTGTTGTGTAACAGAATGGCATCAGCAATTCAGTCATCCCAATCTCTGCTGCATCCAGCGTGTGCACAATTCAGTCAGTCACATTCAGAGATTCTTGAAAACAGTCTTGGCAGCCTTATTCTAAGGAGTGATTAAGAAAAAAGCCAAAGAGGTTTATTCCAAATCACAATCCTCTGGGCACCCCGATGGTAAATGCAATATTCCTAATGCTCCCAGCAGCCAAATAATCCAGCACCATTCATTCTCTGGGCTGTCAACCTGGGTGGGAGCAAACATGCAAAGGCAGCACTACACTGGGACTCTGCACCCTATCCCAGAGGGGCTGTACAGCAACTATGGAGATTATGAGAATGTTAGCACAGTGAAGAAGGTCCATATTTGAAGAGTGTGTTTCAGAGTTGGGACCTCCACTGGAACTACCACAAACATTGTTTTAAGAACTGGAGAAGACATAAATCAGGAATGAAAACAGAAGTTGGTGGAAAAGCTCAGCAGGTCTGGCAGCATTTGTGAAGGAAAATCAGGGTTAATTTTTCTGGTCCAGTCAACCTTCCTCAGAACCCCCAAGTCCTGAGGAAGAATCACCAGGCCCAAAACATTAACTCTGATTTTCCTTCACAAACATTTTATTTAAAACTGGATTTATCGTGACATTTGGACCTTTGATGAAGGTGTGCATTCTAAATGTAACCTCAGACATGTGTGCACATTTAACTGGTGTAAGAGATAACATGGGAACACAGCAGGCCAGGCAGCATCAGAGGAGTAAGACTTTACCAGCTTCAAAATCTCCCCACCCCCAGCCTCATCCCATGACCAACCCTCCCTCTTATCCCCACCTCCTTGACCTGTCCATCTTCTCTCCCACCTATCCACTCCTCCCACCTCACTGTCCAATCCCCACCACTCCTACCTGCACTCACCTATCACCCTCCCACCTCCCTTCCCCAGCCCAACCCCCACCTTTATTTATGTCAGAGCCCCCTTTCCCCACCCCCATTTCTGAAGAAGGGCCTCGACCCGAAACATCAGCTTTCCTGCTCCTCTGATGCTGCCTGGCCTGCTGTTTTTCTCCAGCTCCACACTGTGTTATCTCTGACTCCAGCATCGGCAGTTCTTACTATTTCAGAGGAGTAGGAAAGTTGACATTTCGGGTCAGGAACCTTCTTCAGAAAATCTGGTGTAAATAATGTTTTGTAATTTGTACATAGCTTGTTCAAACTCCTGAAATAATGCGATTATTCATGGATCAGGATTGGTGGGAATGCCCTTGCAGATTGTAGATAATTTGACCTGCTTAGTAAGTAGTCTTAATTTATGGAAGAATTCACAGATCCAACTCACCTGAAGACGCACAAAACAAAAAAAATGACCAAAATGCTAAAGAATTTGAAAATAAATTGTACAAATTTTAATTTAGCCAGAAAGCTGAAGTTGAGACATATCTTAAAGGCCCGTGGCAAACTCAATGCAGGTGGATTTCCAGAAGAGTTTATTAGAAATCTGGACGCCTTATGTTTTCATAGGGTCTGTATATATTGTGTATAGTTTTAAAATGTCAACACACCAGGAATGCAACCCATTGAAAATGTTGTTATTGATTCATTTTAGAAATAAACTGTGATTTTATTTCTACAACATGCTTATTTTTAATTGAAGCAGGGAGATGAGAAATGTTTAGTCTACAACAGCAACAATCATTGCACTCCACTGTATTCAAGATGAAAGAAGATGCTCTAGTCACTCCTCCTCCATTCTTTCTGCCTTAGCCAAGTCTGGGAGCTCTGTCAGTCTGATTTTTGTTATTTGACTCGTGCAGCACCCAAGCCTTTCAACCATGCAATGGACTAAATGCACATACACCCAGATTGAATTAAAGGAGATAACTATTCACTTGGGTACGAATTAAGAGGCAGACAGATCTAAAACAAAGACACATCAGATTAAAACTTTATTTAGGATTGAAACAAAGAAAACCATTGTAAATATATTCTAGTTATACACTGACAGAGTAATAGCAGAGACCCAGATGAAGTTGCGGACTCGCCTTCTGTCCCATTTCGAATGATTACAAGGAGCCTCACTAATATGGTTACGTGTTGGATGATAGGTTTCTTTGTAATGTTATTCTAACCCATCATATTAACACCTGCATTAATGGCTGAGGAAATTAAAACCTCGACTTATTACAGGCCCTGAAATTCATTGTGCCAGATTTCTCAATTACCAGTTTCTCAGAAACTTTTTTCTAATAAAAAGAAATCAGTCTTCTTTTCATCTCCATCCTTTGTTCCCACGTTCGGAAACCCCCATCCCAGTCAGGAACGTTTTAGGTAGATGTGAAATTTATTCCCATCACCGCAACCACCCCACCCCCAGCCAAAAAAACATAAGCAGCATCATTCCTTGGTTTTCTGAGTCACTTCATGTAGCCTCCTACAGGACTCCTGCTTAAACTCTTAATCCAGTGAGGAGAATGTACAAATGTAAGTCTAGGTCCTCTCACAGCTTACTCCAGATCTCTAGTGTTGAATCACTGACGATAGTCTGCTGCCAACTTGCCCTTCTCAGTCCGCAGTGAGAGTCAAGGGTCAGCTCTATTTCTCAGAGACACAATCCCATTCGCTGTCTTGGGGACTGTCGATGACTGACTCTATGAAGGAGCTGGATTAGATGTATATCACTACTCACAACACGAGTCCAAATGGCAGAATGCTGGGCTCAGTACTAATGCAGTAAAATTAGCCCATGGTGAGCTATTATTTCACAGGCTGCTTAAAGAGCACTCACAATAACAAAGTGCACCAGCCCAGGGATGTCATGCATGTGTGATGCTGATAGAGAATGCAGTACCTAAGACTCTTGATATCCACAGCAACAAGCATGACAAAGTAAAGAATAAAGTCTTCGCTAAAGTTAATGATTGGTCAGACACAGTATTTCTTTTAGTTAGTGGGAGTAATGACACCTTCTTCATACATGAATTCTTCTAGAACCTTCACAACATTTTGGGCCTCAGGCATCTCAACATGTTCCACCTTGACGTTCTGTAGGAGGACATCCCCATTGCCACAGTTCTTGAGAAAGACAAAGCATTTGAACAGGGCATAGTTGTTTGTCTCAGCCTGTCGAATGTACCGCTTTAGGCTGTTCATATCCTGGATGGCCTGAGAAACATCATCAGGGCAAAAGGGTAGATTAGATCGGAGTTAACTAGCAATTCAGGCTTTTAAAAGAATATATTAACTTGTATAAGTGTGTAAAGAGTAGAAATAGCATTGAGCATGCTCAGATCAATAGGTAAAGAATATTATCCACACTGGTACAAAGGCATATCGACTAAGTAGTTTGCAGGTTCAAGTTTCACATCCAGCCCAGGTCCACTAATGCCAAAGAAAAAAAATGCCAGAGATATCATACATCTTATATCCACCTTCACAGTAAAAGACACAAATACAGGGACACCAATGGTCTGGAGCAAATTGGGAACCAAAAAAGTAATTAAGACAAAAATAAACAAACACTGGGAAAATCAATGGGACTGGAAGCTGATACCCTGGCCTTAATGGCTTAATCTTGGAGTTCTTCTGAAAGAAAAAAGGCAGATGGCAGAAATAATGGATGTACTGGCTACAATCTTCCAGAATTCCCTTGATTTTGGAATTATCCCAAAGGAATGGAAGGCAATATATGAAAGTACATGACCACACATGGGGTAGGTTAACTACTGCTCATTTGGAAAAATACTCATTATTGAAGAAGTGGCCACAAGGCACTTCAGAGTCAAGAATTGGTTCAAAGATATATCTAGCAGGACAAGTAAGGGAAACCACTGGCTATAATGTATTTAAATTTTATAAATGCACTTTATTTCTTTTAAACCAAATTAAGGGTCATGGGTCTGGCATAATTAACAAAGCTATGGGGGTGGGGGTGGGGGTGCGGTCATGGTCAGGTATTAGAATAGGTGGAAAATTGATTAAAGGACAGAAAACAACAGGAAAAAACAGGCCATTTACAGTTGAGCAGGTTATTACTAGTGAGGTGCTAGTGCCTGAGCCAACTACAATCCATTTTAATGATTTTTATGAGAAACTAAGTACAATGCTTCCATTCATTCAAAGCTGTTGCTACAAAGCTAAGTGGGAAAATGAGATATGAGGACAATAAAAATATCTCCAGATTGGACAAGTGGGACAAGCTGGCAGAAAGAGAAGGATAATGTGGAGGAAGGTGAAGCAATTCACTTTGTTAAGAATGAAATGGGATTTTTTATGTGACTCAATGCAATTGAAGACACATAGCCTTTTTCTCTGCTGATTGACATAAGCTATCACTGACAGGAGAAGAGAAAAACTGAAAACTCTGCTGGTAGAAAAAAATAATCAGAGTAAATCCTAAATCCCCAATCACATGTTGTACCCCAAGACATATCAGCTTGGGAAAGGCAAAATCAACTTCAATTACTATTTAAATCCATTTCTTCTAGCTGTCCTCCACTACTGGTTTGAGGGGCAGCATCCTCACCTTTAATTTAAAATTCTCCAGGATTTGCCTTATGAGGAAAGGATTTCCACTTTCCAAACTGTTTAAAAATGAAGGAATCCAGTCTTCACAAAACTTATTGCTCACTGCAAGAAAAGAAAGTGCTGTATGAGCACAAACAAGAATCATACTTGCCGAGTAATGAAGGAACATTATAAAAGCCAAGACAATTACCCAATATTTGTTCAATGCATACAAAGTAGGAGGTTTCTGACTGCCGATTGTTATTTTTCCACTGGTTCAATGAATCAGCATGTAACATACAACAGAGCCAAGCTGCCCAAACTGTGGGAGGACCTATACCATGTGGACCACAGAGAGTCAACCTAGCAACTCACTACTACCTGTTCAAGAGTAATTACGGGTGGGAAATAAATATCAGTTTTGCCAGTGATGCTCAAACCAAGCACAACTATTAGATTGAACAATAAACTCTAGTCCAAGTCACGGTAAACAAGAATAAAAAAAAAATTCTGAGGGGACTTCGGAATAGAGAGGCAAGAGGCTGTTTCCCCTAGTTGGACTTGCAATCAGTCTTATGATAAATGGTTGACCATTTAAGATTGAGTTGGTAAACCTTTCTGCCCAAAGGTTTGTGTATCTTTGGATTCCATCTCCTCAGAGAGCTGTGGATAGTCAGTGTTGAGTACTTGCAGGATCAAGGCTGATGTTTTCCTTTGTGACCAAAAATCTAAGAGATAAGAGGATATGTTGAGAAACTGGAGCTGTGCTAAGAGATCAGGTATGAGAGCACTGAAAGGTGGAGCAGATGAATGCCCACATAGTCAACTCCAGTTCCAGCATTCTCATTCATATCTTTGCACAGCTTTAGTGCATACCTGAGCACTATCCCTTCCTGTTTCATCCCAGAGCTTCTGCTGCACACAGGCTGTCACTCCAGCTGGCATTTCTTGATTGCCCAGTGAGACTAATAGAGGGTTTCCTGTGGTGCAGCAGTAGAGTCCCTGCCTCTGGTGAAGGAGGCCCAGATTCAAGTCCTATGCGCTCCAGAGGTGTGTAATAACATCTCTGAACAGGCTGATTACAGAAATATCTCCAATGGGACAGTATACGACAGACTTCAACAAACTCAGAAACGTGCACAAAGGAGGAATTTTCTTTGTATAGTTTGTGGGGACTTTGAATTCCTACCAGCATTTTGAAAGACAGGAGTAGGTTCACTGCAGTCTATAACAATGACTTTCTGTGGTTCCTCAGTCATCACTTTACACAGCGAAGCTAGCATGTTCTCTTGGATCAGACCCTGAAGGCTGGCAGCGCTGAGAAACCTGGCAAAAAACAAGATTTGCAATTAGTGTCAACAATGAGCTTAAACAGATATTGTATAACTCAAACTGTTCAGAAATATTATGACATACCTCTGGAGCTGGTGGGACTTGAACCCAGGTTTTCTGGCTCAGAGGTTGCATCACTATCACTGTGCTACAGAAGCCTTTGATGTTATTACACCCTGGGGCAGGTGGGAACTTGAACTTGGACCTCCTGGCTCAGAGTTAGCAGCACTATTACTGCACCACATGAGCCCTCCACTAGCTCAGACAGCAAACAACAGTACAGCACAGGAACAGGCCCTTCAGCCCTCCAAGCCTGCGCCGACACATTTTGCCCTTCCATACTAAAAGTGTCTTCACTTACAGGATCCATATCCCTCTATTACCTTCCTATTCATGTATTCATCCAGGGGTTTCTTGAATGATGCTATTGTGTCTGCTTCCATCACCACCTCTGGCAGCAGTTTCCACGCACTCACCACCCTTTGTGTGAAATATATGCCTCACTCATCTCTTTTAAACTCTTTCCACCACCCCACCACCCCCCCTCCCCCTCGCACCCTGAACCTGTATCCTCTAGTAACTGACCCTCCACCCTGGGAAAAAGCCTCATACTTTCCATTCCATCCATGCCGTTCACAATCTTATAAACTTCCATCAGGTCGCCCCTCAACCTCCTGCTTTCCAGTGAAAACAAACCCAGTCTATCCAACCTTTCTTCATAGCTAAAATCCCCTGTAACAGGCAACATCCTGGTAAACCTTTTCTGTATCCTCTCCAAAGCATCCACATCTTTCTAGTAGTGTGGTGACCAGAACTGTACGCAATATTCCAAGTGTGGCCTAACGAAAGTTCTATAAAGCTGCAGCATAACTTGCCTATCTTTATACTCAATGCCCCTTCCAATGAAAGCAAGCATGTCATAAACCTTTCTTACTGCCTTATCTACCTGTGCTGCCTCCTTCAGTGATCTGTGGATCTACACACCCACATCCCTCTGCATATCAATACTCCTAAGGGTTCTGCCATTCACCGTATAATTTCCACCTGTACTTGACCTTTCAAAATGCATCATCTCACATCTGTCCAGATTAAACTCCATCCGCCATTTTTCTGCCCATGCCTCCAACTGATCTATTTCCTGCTGTATCTTCTGACAATCCTCCTCATTATCCACAATTCTACCCATCTTTGTATTGTCCACAAACTTACTATTTAGACAAGCTATGCTTTCCTCCAAATTATTTATGTAGACCACAAACAGCACAGGTCCCAGCACTGATCCTTGTGGAACAACATTAGTCCCAGCCCTCCATTCCAAAAAGCATCCTTCCATTGCTACCCTCTGTCTCCTATGACTAAGCCAGTTCTGTATCCATCTTACCAGCTCAAGCCTGATACCATGTGACTTCACCTTTTGTACCAGTCTGCCATGAGGGATGTTGTCAAAGACTTTATTGAAGTCCATGTAGACAACATCAACCACTTCTCCCTCAATCATCTTCATCTCCTCTTCAAAAAACTTGATTAAGTCAGTTAGGCACAACCTCCACCACACAAAACCATGCTGTCTATTGCTAATAAGTCCATTTGCTTCTAAATGCGTTTAGGTCTTGTCCCTGAGAATCTTTTCCAATAATTTCCCTACCACCATGATACTTACAGGCCTGTAATTTCCAGTATTATCCCTGTAACCCTTCTTTAACCATGGGGCAACATTAGCTACTCTCCAGTCCTCTGGGACCTCCCGTGTAGAGATGAATACCCCCGGGAATCACATCACCTGACCTTAGCTTTCTGTCTACTTATTACTTGTTCAGATAACCAACCGCCCCCCACCACATCACTAATCTAATAATTTAAGAATATGCTTTTTTTTTTAAACCCAATTACTGGCAATCATAGTTTCAACTGATTCAGCTCCAAGCTTTGGAATTCCCTGTGTAGCAATTCTACCTCTCTCCTCTTTTAAAGAGGCCAATCAAAAACCTCTCTCTTTGGCCAAGACCCTCCTAATATCTCCTCTTCTGTCTCACTGTCAACGTTTGTCCGATTATGCCTCTGTGAAGCACCTTGGGACATTTTAGTATGATAAATGTAAGTTGTTGGTGCAATATGGAACTATTCAGAGTAGAAAAAGTCAGAACAGACCCTTGGTTTACACTGGGTTAATTTCAACTGAGGTTGCAATTGGCCAGAGAACGCTGGATAAAAATCCAGCAGCTGGGGACTTGTGGTGCAGTGGTAGTGTCCTGACTTCTAGACCAGAAGTTCCAGGTTCAAGTCTCACATGCTCCAGAGGTATCAGCATGTCCAAAAAGACTGAATAAAAATCACTGAAGATCCTACAGATCAGGAAATTAAAATCAGCTGATCTTGATAAGGAACACAGAAGTTGGTGGGAACAGCAAAACTCGTTAGCAGGTACAATTCAGATATCAAAGCATTTCTTACCTTTCAACATCCTGTTTTATTTTGTTATCAGTGCCTTTAACTTCAACTGGAGTGTGACTCAAAGCCTAAAACAAATACAACCCAGTGGATATTATAGACTAGTACAATTGAGAATTTAAAAACGTTTATCTACAAGCCCAAAATAACCTCAATATTCATTTCAACTTTTGACTTGCTCCTTGAAGAAAAATAAACACACACACACACACACACACACAAGTTTACAGATTTACATTTTAAAGTGTAGATCCCAGCTGGTGTGGGTTTGGGACCATTATAGTTGCCCATACTGCTCCTATGTCAGGGATCAGAAAGAAAGAAAATAAAAACTGCAAGTAGCTTGTGCTGCTCACTACCCAGCGGGAGGTGTACACACATACAGCAGCTGGATTAAGTGCGCAGCCCAAGTAAAGGTTATACAGTCATACAAGTTCCAGGCAATTCCCTGGCCTGTGGAGAGTTACCTGATCTCAGCTAGGGCACTGGTAAAAGGTACAAGTGATTTCAGCACCCAATGGGAAAGAGTTGGCCATCCTGTCTGAATCCTGTGTCCGTTCCCCCCCATCACAGATATGTCTGCATACACCTGGCAAAGATGGATCATCATTTGTGACGCCATCCACAGCCAAGTATCCTGCTGACACTCACTTTGAAGACTCACAAATGTCACTTCAGAAAGGTCTTGGGGATTGGGGAGGGGGGTGGTGATGACATGAGTCAGCACAATTCTTGAAGAGAGGAGGGAAGGAATAGATAAAATAATGCAATTACACAGAGCAGATAATAAGCAAGTGTCTGGTTTGCTACAAAAATACTCACGGCCCGTAAAAGGACAGCAAGTCTGTTCTGGAACAGTTGCAACACCCTTTGTATGTACAGCACAGCGTCATCATACCAGCTGCTCAGGTACGGCTGGATGTGCAGCTCAACAGCTCCAACCTGTGGTTCACACACACAAAGTTCAAATTTCATCCAGTAAGCAGTAAGCAACACAAAGTTCCTGGCCCCAGGCCCCAGGATCTGTGCTGAGACACCACAACCTGCATTTATATAGCCCTTTAAACATA